GAATTTAAAGGCTGTTGGATACTGCCAGTGTAACAAAACACAAATAAACTTTTCTCCGGATCTGTGTGACATATGTGAATCTTCATGGTCACATATTGGAGGAGGTTTACAGTGCTCGATTGTCTGCCGGTGTAACGTCCTATCTCGAGACGTTGCCTCCGTAAATGTCATTATTTCAGACCGTCTTTAAAGTTGTTGTTTGAGACGCAGTATGTTTTTCATGAGACTAAATTCATGTTGAAAATCTATGAATCAAAAGCAGATTTTGGTAGAACGAATATATTTGGGTGATTTCAAGTATGTGCTCGCCATGTGAGCGGATTTGGCCGCCGAAATGGCCTGAAATTTTGCGTATGTTAGAGGACAATCATTTTCTCACATTAACTGCGTCAAAATGCGCGAGAGGTAAACTATGGGGAAAAAGGATTGGCTGAAAAAAAAACAATCACTCAGGACTTTTAAATGTGGCAATATCATGTGTGCGATATACTACTACTGCTCTACTCTATTCTTTCCAAGTTAGTTGGCAGAATGCCGACATTCGTTGATCGCGATATCCGTCTCTGTGAAATTCACCAATTCGGAAGCGTGTGGCAGTATGACTGTAGCAAAACACAGGCACATCGAATAACAGCCAAGAGGAAAAGTTCTGTCCCGAAAGATGCAGGGGAAAAAGCTCAAAACAAAGATGTGACAAGATGACAAGATGTGAGCCTTGATGACGCGCGAAAGAAATGGGTAGACTTGAACAAGTCACCAAGCATACATGGAAATATCATTAAGAGTCAGAATGGACCTTTTCAAGTTCCAGTTTTAGGTGTACACGTGGGTGTTTGCTCGTTAAAGAAGTGTGAGATCTTGACCAAGGAAAAATAATCCTTTCTGGGATAGTGGAAAACTGTCAGATAAATAATTAGGCTACAATAATCGACTTTAAATTTTAATGATAACCAAGCTGACAGAGCCTTCGATTACACAAAAGCCTTCTCAGGTGTGAGAAGACAGCTCCAACGTTGGAGTTTAAAATCTGTAACTGAAAACCAGGTTTCGGTAGAACAAATTTGTTTGCGGAATCTCAAGTACGTGCTCGTCATGTGAGCGAATTTGGTTAGTGAAGTGGCCCGAAATTTCGCGTATTTCATTCTACTTATATTTCATTAATTTTTTTGTGTTGCGTGTGCCAAATGCGCGAGAGGTATACTATAGAGAAAAGGAATATTTTGGAATGGCCTAAAAAATTATTCAAGAATTCTAAATGTGACGTCATGTGTACGCTATGCTTACTAATTTCATTTCAGGTTAGTTGGCAAAATGCCGACATTCGTTGATCACGATATCCGTCTCTTAAGTACACCTTTTTGGATGGATGCTAACAACCCAAGATATCCACTTCAGATTAATTTGTTGCTCCAATTTCATTTTTCACTAAACAGTTCTGTTGAGAGCTGAAGTGACGTATGCGTTTTAACTCTATACTAAGGAAATGGGCTGTTTTATTCTGAAACGATGTTGAAGATTTCATTGGGTGAAGTGTCTTGGTTGATAATTGTGCGTGTACGCTTTTGAGCATTAATCTTTCGTGGCGATTTGTTTACTAAGAAAAAAAGTAAACGTCGTTGAGCCAAGCATCACATGTTGAAAGACAAATGGGTACCCTTCATCATGATTTACCGGAAAATAGGAAAAATTAAACAACTCCAATTTATGGGCTTATTAGCCTGCTGATTTTAGTTTTCAAATAAAAAACTGAATGTAATCTGTTTAACCGCTTAGGCTGCAGATAAATATCCCAAGTTGCATTAATTTTGCTCACTTTGCCCGTGAATATATATTAATCAGAAACACCCTCTAGACTTTGCTCACTTTGCCCGTGAATATATATTAATCAGAAACACTCCTCTAGACTGCCCTTTTTTTAAAAAGCTTAACAAACATGCTGTTTTATTCACTGAATTCTTATTTTTTGTTAATTATCGTACTTTCATATAGTATATATAGTAACATATAATGAATAATGCATTATGCACTGTATAGCAATCCAGGTGTCTTGTGGGATTATGTTATCGCGCTATTGCACAGATACAGTCGTCAAACTCGAATCATTCCATTTATAAATAGTAGTGCAACACGAATAATAGGAAAGTCAAAGTTGAGGGGTAACTTCAGGAAGTATTTTCAGTCTGCATGATCAAAAGCCTGATACTAAGAAAGCCAAGCGGTAAACCCACAAAGACTGCACGGAATAGCGTAGGATAAAAACGCAAGATCACACGAACTAAATAGAGCGCGACTCTAGGTGTTGTTAACCCGGCCATATCTTACGCTTTCCGCAGTATACCCAATGTGCAAGTTGAATATTTCCACTGATGGTTGGCCTTTGCTTTGTCACTCAGACAAAATGCGAGCATTGTTCTTTTTATTAGATATTAGAGTAAAGTGAAGGTAATATCATACCGATGAAATGTAAGCTCAGGTTTGCACTTAAGAAATATAAGTCCCATCTGACGCTGCTGTATGCACAGTGGTTCCACTTTTCTGAATTTATTAACTAATCTAAAGCCTTTGAGCATCTGTGTTAAGTAGAATGTGATAGAGTAACTCATTTATCTAGAGTAGAGTTGCAAAAGAAGGTAGATCACTCACAAGAAAGCATAAATATCCGTTGGACAGTCTGTAGACAGCAAAATTCCATATATCTATAGCGTTGTTGTAAACAAATAAAACTATCAGCGGCTAATTCCGTAGAAAACAGGCATGAATGTGGTCAGCTAGCTGTGCTTCCATTCTGATACTCTGTACACAGCCAGAAAAACGGTTCACACGTTTGGCACATCTAAAATTAACATCTTTCTGTTGCCCCCATCAATGTACAGGTGGAGATGTGATGCGAACGTCGTTCTGTGTGTGCAGAAATTAAGTGAAGGAATGGTTTTAACCCAGGTAGCATATTTCTTTGTGTGAACACTCCAGCTACTTTCAAAACACGTGCTTGACTGTTGTCGGCGAAGGCGAATAGTTTCACAAAAGTTCCACTTAATTTTAGCCAGTATTTTGTGACACTAAAATATATGGATCGCTTTCTTAGCAAATTCTAAATTTTGCTATATTATTATACATAAGCTTGTAGAAGTCTCTGTGTGAGCAGTGCCATAATATCCATTTGCGTTGCTGTGAACAACCGCTCATCGACCACGGGAAATCAACTTTTTGTTAAGCACGTGCAGGTTTCCGGAGCATACTTTTGCTCGGATTTTGTGATTCAACAAAACGATGAAATATGTTGTTATTCTACACACGGTACTCTTTAGAGTTGCTCAAGGAAGGTATTGTAAATTTTACCCTTCAGAGGCTGTCGCCAGTCCCAAGAATCTTAGTTCAACCGATCATCAGATATTGTTGACAAAAAGCCATCAAATATGAAACGAAAATAAACTTTAGATAGTCTGAAGCGTGTGTACATCCGACCGTTAGAAACAACACAAAAATTACTTCACTCACATCCGCATTAACTCGAGTGATCTGTTCAGTCTCACACCACTCGTTTTGAACAGTCGTCCTCCTGTCCTGGCGCAATTATTCATGTGAATCCACACCAAAGGGGCGGAAGCACTGGACTCGAGTTTCGCTCTTGTTACAGTTCATCAGCAGTGCATATCCAATGGCCTTGCCGGGGTTTGAACTCCGGACACCTGACATGCGAGGCGAACGTGTTACCACTATTCCACCAGCGCACGTTGGACGCATCTGAATTCTCACGTCTGAACGGGTGAACGTGTTCTCAGGAGGACGACTGTTCAAAACGAGAGTGATGTGAGACTGAACAATACACCTCCCGCAAAAACCATCACATGCATCGAGTGATCTGTCTTAATATCACGAGTGCGAATTGGAACTTTATTCAACATTTATGCACAACTGGGATTTGCTTCAAATGGCACCTATTTAGAATCAAATAAACTAAGTAATTCCCAGAGAGTAGACTTTTTCGTAGAAGTCATAGGAACGTGCATATGGCACGTGCCTTGGCCATGTCGTGCAATTGTAATAGACCTACGTGCGGGCCAAAATGCTATTAAAGTAATCGTGCTTCAAAGTTTACTACCTGGACTATGCCACCAACGAGACTGTTGTTGAGGACAAATGAGAGGAGACATTGAAGCCAGTAAACTGTACACAGAAGTAGAGCTTGGTCAAAAATAAAAAAAAACATGAGGGTACCTACAGGGTTATGCTTTTTGGTGAAATGGAAGAATACCCAAAAGTTGTGGTGTCCCTTTGTCACTTTCGAGGTCTGCTGTTGTCGTCTGTAGGTAGAACAAGCCAGAGTTTGTGTACATGTAAGCTCAAATCGTTGCAAATTTTGAAAGATTCGCAAATACATTTTTCGAGCTTGGTAACGGAAATCACTACGTCTGGGAATGCAAAGTCCCGGTTATCTACTGTGTTAGAACACAATCTGGAGTAAGGCGAAATCACGTAGGCCCCGGTACAAATGTAGGCCCGTATCAAGGGTGAAGTTGCTAACTTATTCGTCTGATATGTACTGCGTGATCCCGTGGCATCACACTGCATTGGTGACAGCTGGTGAAATACAAATAGAGATATCCGAATTTCACCCATGCCTCGTATATTTCTCGTATATTTTCTCCTACATTTGATGAACACGAAAACTTTAGTAGTTTGTTGATACTTTTATGGACCATATGCGGACACCATGTTGACATTATGGTATGACCTTTAGTTATCCAGCTGATGTATCAATTACTGATGACTGGAGATGGTACTGGAAAGAAAATAGTTTATTGAAACAGAAACAGAACGGACAATCAGTGAACAATTCAGGCTATCACAGTATTCTCATCTCCCCAAGCTCGACACCGATCATATATCCATACAACTGTCAAAATTAAGCTAGATACAACAAGGAGCGTGAGCGGCCAAAACAATGTGTTAAACAAGGTCGCAGGTCCATAAAATTTGTGTAACAGGGCTTCGTTCACATGGTCCTCATGGGTGAAACAGTCAAAGCGGCCACTGCGTCGGATAAGTTGGTGAAACTCTTCTACTGACGCCCGGTTTGCTTCGTTACGTCGCTGACAGGAACTGGTGGCGCACTAAAAATGCAAATAAAAAAAAGTAGACACTGAAAATCTTTGAAAAGTTTGTTCAGAAGCTAAAACATGCTCTGACTACAGAAGCAGATGAGGCAGTTACGGTCGATATAATGGTAAGAAGACCTAAATTATGTTGAGGAACGCAGGTACTTTGTGCAATTCCATTTATGAAAGCCACGTTTAATGTTGAATGGACACTCCTAAAAATTCGTTAAAGAAAGATTAGAGGAACTGGTTTGCTAACAGCTGTTGGCTCATTGCAGGACGATCAACCTAAAGTCAAAGTACACAAATTACAGAAATGCTCGACCGTGGGCCTGTGAAAAAAAGACAGCGCAATGATCGGCGGCACAAATCAAGTATTTATGGTGATCATTGGATATAGTATGATCAGTCCACATGTACGGAAGGCATTTTCTAAAGCCGGGTACACCGAAGTGTACGACCGGAGCACACCAGGATCTTTTATACTAGCCACTATCGTGATTCAAAGGGTTGTGACTGTTTGCTTGCTTGCAAACCCGTTCCGATAATAAAACTGAGCACTTGGGGTCACCTGCAGACGCAAGATATTAATGTGAACAGTCATTAGATGCTGGCACCGCGCCTAGATTGTGTTTCCATTTCCGGGTACACTCGACGGCCATATATTTGAACGAGGCGTTTGGTGGTTTGGCTTAAAACATTTCCTCTAGAATGATACTCGCTGCTTTTATCCAGTCCTGTCCGATAGATCACTTGCCAGATAGTTAATTCATTTGTACGTTTTCGATAGGGCGTGCGCGAAACGTAAGGAAAAACTAATTTAGATACTATAGTATTTCACAAAAATGCTCATTTTGCGCCATATGAAGCGATCTGTTGTCTCAAAATTCTAAAAATTGTTGCGAGTCGGTGGAAAGTTGCAAACAATGTTGGAATTTGAACAGCGAGAAGCACTGGTCACTCAGTGGTTTCTGAGTGTCTACAAGGAGCTTGCCGTTTAAAGCTTTATTCAAGTCCAGGTTGAATAGGTCTGATCCTTCTGTTTGAGTTCCAGTGATGCATTTGACAGAAATGTCAATAGTCAATGGGCGGATATTCATATAAGCAATTGTACCGTGAGACATTTTCAGAAAAGCTACTTTGGTTTTTATATTGAAAGGGGCGCCGTCTTATTTACAGCTCAGTTGTGGATAGGTTCAAATTTTTGAATTTCATGATGTGTATTTTCGATTTTCCAGCGATCAACCGGCCGGAATTCTTGGGAGAATAAGGTTAGGCAGCCTCGTGTTACATTGTTTAAGACATGATATTCAGACATTTTCTCCTGCGTTTTTTAAGAAAAACTAATCACATGAAGCATGTTGGGTTCAATCATCCAACTCGTCTCCTCGATAAATCACCACCTTGCATCCATTTGAGAGCCGGACAAATCACACAACGTTTAGACCAAGAGCGAAAATAATCGGAATCAGTCTACACAGAAACTATCAAAATGATTCATGGTGTAAACATTAGAATCGGTTGTTAGATTCAACTTGACATCGGCAACATCAAATGCGCCTAAGAAGAGAACAACAGCTATTACCACGAAACTAACATTCCAACCTGTGTCAAAAGAGAGCTAGAGGAATCAGAAAATGGTGTGGCAATCGAAGTGTTTCGATTTGCCATCGATGGAAATGCTTCTAAACCGTTTGACACCAAAATAAATCAAACTACAGGTCAAATTGCTATAGAATTCAGAGCCCTCAGAATTCAGCGGTTCTGGCAGCCCCGGGGGAACTTTTGAAAGAATAATTATAGTGTCTTTCTCAAAAATGTCCAAATCACCATAAATGATAAACATATCTGCCTTCCACGTGAGTCTCCCATCAAAGCCAAATTGGCAAGCAAATGAGTGTACTTCGCCAAGTCTAAATATTTTCGAACAGTAACTTCCCATAAATCAGTGGAAAAAGCTTTCTCCATCCTTTTGCTGTGTCATTCATCTGTCTGCAAGGTCTGGAGTGTGTGCTTGTTCTAGCCTGCTAGCATCAAACGTGACCTTCAGATGCCAAGAAATGGGTGGATCATATGTCAAGACGTATGGTAGTGTTTTACAGACTTGAATGCAAACTTGCATCCAAACCGTGGGTAACTTTCCACTACATAATTTACTTTCGACAGAAGTATTTGCGATGGATAACAACTATCCAAGTTATATGTGTCATACTCATGATTCTATGATAATGATTTGTCAATGTGAATTACATTTTGTACTAATCAGTGGATGCAAATGCAGTTCGCTCACAGGTGAAAAATAATCTTTCGGTACCTTTAGGTCATTTGCGGGATTCACGATCACATGATGGATACAGAAATGCTGATGGTACTTTAAAATTTGCGTACCAACATGAACGCTAACTTCCGGAAAACTAGATTTTCTCTTACTTGCGAATCTTACGCTGTGTACGTAATACATTGTTGTTATGTCAGTTCGGCCCTGCAACTAATTTCTACCGCCTGATGCCCCTCCACATCTGTTATTCCTCATCTTCAAAATGCCATACGACATCACCTGGTGCTTTCGTGTCGAGAGATTAGCGTTTCAAAGTCAAATCCAGTTTATATAATCAAAAACTCTTAGCCGAATGAGCAAACCGCCATTTGTTTATCTCACCTCGCTTGCGACATTGGCAGAATGTAGTGACGTTTTTGAGCGATCATGGTAGGGACCTCATTGATCAACATTCTACATTCTGGTAGGCCGAAAACTCGAACGTGAAACTTTTAGTTCAAGTGTAAGCAAGTATTGTCATATGGCATTCTCGTTCGCCCAACTGTAGTAGGGTCAATAATGTGTGTTTGACCACTGAGATTTCACTAATCTTGGTTACGGAGATCAAGATTAACTTATCAGGGAAATGTCTCAGCTACGGAGCCCATAGGTATGGGGTTTACAGAAGTTTGCCGGTAATGACGAACTAAGAGGACAAATTGCAGTTCAAACTACGCATTTTTTAAAACTTTGACTACAGAAAACGTAAATTGGTGATAGTAAACACGGGGGATTCATCCGAATGACACTAGTTGTCAATTGGTAAGTAGACAGAATCGGAATAGTTTATTTTATTCCCGTGTTTGTTGTCTATAGCGTGCCGTGTTCTGCAGATACATCCATCATCTACTGCTCAGTACGGGCATTTCTTATTATTGAATTTGCTTGGAGAGGAGACTAATTAAAAATAATAAACTGGGCAAACGAGAAACTAATGTTACTCAGCGTAGCTGTTGTTTCAAACATTTGATTCTGATATACCGCCACAATAGTCCCTGTATTTAAAAATCCACTTTACTTGGTCTAGAACAGTGGAACTCGGAACCTAACGTTAGTAGTAGGATCACAAGTTCAAATGATTGTCGCTAATTTAGTTAAATGCTGTCGAATGCTCACATAGAACAATGATGGCCTCAACCTTGAAATCTTATCTATGACCGGCATGAATGCGTTGGTGGATAGACGAGTTACATGACCCAGTGAACGTAGAAACATGAAAAGCAAGTACGTGAAAGTAACTTTTTGGAAATTTCTGAGGCGGAACTAAGTTATCCACAATTAGCGTCCGCTGTTTACAGTTCTTAGTGTTTAGATGAGCGCTAGAGTTAATTTTTGGGGCAGAGAGATTGCCTGTTCAGATTTAACAAAATATATTTGAATTACAAAGACATTTTTTATAACGGCAGACTTGTTCGTCCTTGAACAAGACTCTAATCACGAGGCACCGCAAATGCTATTTTTTAAGCCTGTTTGACTATCATAAGCGGGTTTAATTTTTTCCTTTTATACAGTTACTACCTCAATGGATAGATGACGAACGGACTACGCCTGTCGACTTATATAAATCAAAGTGGACAGTAGCGAGCATTTTGGTATCACTTAATTCGAGCATCTACCACAAAATTATCGAATTATATCTGAGAAATAATCAACTCTGTCACTGTTCTGAAACCAAATAGGCGTTTTCTTTGGTGCCTCATTGTTCAGCCGTGAAACCGAACCCGGCAATAATAAGACATCTACTGAGTAAATGGATCAAAAGGTTATCTGAAAACTGTGGTACTATGATACTAGATAGGAGCAACAATAGACTTTCGGTGGACGATACATTTTTGCTGTTATAATTTAATTCTGACACCACCAGCAGCTTTGGACGAACAGATGCTTCAATGTTTCCCCAACTGTTGAGTTGCTATTTTCGAACTTTATCCAATAAGCCCAAATCTCCAAATTGTCAGGAGCGTTTCCGAATACCGTATCATCACATTTAACGTATCCAGTGTAAAGCATTTAAAATGGGTACATTGCAATTAAGACATGTAGCTAGATTGTATTAGACGCTGGCATAAATTTTGTTTTTGTGTGGATCGCGAATTTAATAGTTACTCGTAGACTACAACTCTACTTTGGGCCCCGGCGGCAGCGAAATCTTTCACAGACTGAGATTTCTCAGGGAACTCAATAGTGGTGTGACCGTCAAGAGAATAGCTGCACAACGTTGAATATCACATCACTTGAGATATGATGTGGTTTCTGGGTAGCACCTGCAGTTAGAAAATAGATTTAGGCGAGACTTGGGTGAATCCATTTGACGCTTAGTTTTGTTTTTCACCCAGCTGATTGGTATACCCACCTTCAAGGAAAGCTGTTTTGATGCAAATCCCTTATTGTTATCCACATGAACACAAAACTCAGACTAATTAGACAACGCGTCGTTTGCGAATCGCTCATTCGCACATGCATTGTAAATTCGGCATATTGAACGCAGTGAGCGCCTAATTGGTGTGGGGCTGTAGACATACGCCACTTGTTGGCGCTTCAGGAAAATGCTCAGAGCAGTTGCGCTGTTAATTTAAGGAGTAGATGCGTCGTGATGAAATACCTACATGACCAATGCTTCCGGTTTTCAGCTTTTAATGTTTGTGCACAGTTTTATCATAGTTTTCTTCCATGAAGTTGCTAAAACATTTTTTGTCAT